GTGGAATTATGTTTCAAGTTGTTTAAATACAGAGAAAACACCTATGGGATCAATACTCCTAATTATTAATTGTTATTTGTTTACCAAACTGCTATATTGTTGCCGTTTTGAACAATTCCTTTTATTGTGTGTTGTTGCAGTTGTGATCATTTTTATACTGTTGCAGTTATGAACAAACTGAATTGGTATGTTGTTGCAGTTGTGATCGAATAACTTTTGGACACATTTTTAAATTGGAATTATTGTTGCAGTTATGATCATTTAATAAAATATTTTTATACTATTGCAGTTATGAACAAACTTGCTATATTGTTGTAGTTGTGCTATAATCTTTATACTGGTATATTGTTGCAGTTTTGAACAAAGAATATTAGTAAATTGCAGTTCTGAACAAACTATATTGGTATATTCTTACAGTTAAGATTCTTGCAGATAGGTGAATAAATGAATAAAACACTGTTTTGCACTTATGGCTGATTATTTGAATAAAAGCAGTGTTCAAACTTGATGATAATTTCATGGTTTTATTTAACTTTCCACAGTATTTAAGTAACGCTCCTTATTGAACATTAAGAAAAAACTGAAAATCTCATGTAAAATGACAGCAAAAAAATTTATTTTTGAATGACAGAAATTACTGTTATTTAATGTGCCTGTTATTTTACGGGATTTTTCCGGCACCCCAGCTGCCGGAATTTTACCGTTTTTTTACGGGATTTTTTTTTTTACAGTGTGGGATCAGTACTTCCCCATTCCTGCACATATAGTTCTAATGGTATGACAGATGCTATAAGGATTTAGGATCAGATTTTCAGTTTCATAAATCCCAGTCTCATGTAAAAGCAGATACCCATGAGACTTTGTACTGGTGCTGGTAATCGACTGCATGTTTTTCAAATATCTTTGTATCTAGTTAATACTATTTTGTTAAATCATTTATTCATTTTGGTCAATAGAGCCATCCAAAAACGACGTTTTCATGAACATCAGATCATTCACTTGGTCAGCAGTGAGGAGTTTTTTCCAAGCCATATACACTGGGATTTCTTCGCCCAAAGTGAGGAGTGGACCTTTGAAACTTCAGAAAGTTGCTCCTGTCTGTTCATGCATCGAGAGAAAACTGTTTCAGTGTTATAAACTTTAATGTTATGACTTTTATAAAGTGCAAAAGTGTTGTTTTTTGTTATTTTTTGTTTGTAAATATGAATACGCCTTTGTAAACCTATTCGTTTCTTTGATAAGACGATGGTCTTGATATTAAAATAAAAGTCAACATATGACCCGTTCCATTTATGTAGGCTATATATGTTAACTAACCGCTATTTATCCCAGCAGTTACAGGTTTCGAGTTGAGCTATTGTGTTTAAACACTCGCTTGTGATGCTAGGAAACGCCTAGATAAGCTAAAGCTCGGGTACGAGTGAGCGGCAGGACTTTCCCGGCGTTCACGCCTCATACTGCCTCTCTTGAGTCAGACTGCACAAAGTGAAGTCAGTCCAAGAATTTACTCATCTTGAGCGGAGTTACGGGACGACTCAACGCAATCCTAAAGGCAGCTGTAAGTATACTGAACTCGATGGATCATTTAGAGATCATTTAGAGATCGGAAAGTTTGTTACAGAATGCGCAAATTTGCTGTCAGTCTTCTTAATTCTATAAACGTCGTTTCAAACATATAGTTAGTAAACTGTTTTCTTGGGTTTCGACCGAAAGACGTGATATTTATCTGTCTAATCTCTGTGGCTCTGCGGCAAACTGTGCCGCAATTTAAGCAAAATTAGCGAACGAATTCCTCTCGGAACCGCAGGTTTTACATCTGATATTCTTCCTTTGTCACACAGATTCATTTAGCCTATTGTAATGTTGAGAAACACAATACAGAAGACCGGCAGCGTGCAAGGTAGGCAAGTCCACTTCAGTTATGATACAACCCAACTGAATATGATACAGTATTTCCTGGCTAAATAGTTTTGTCAGAGGATTTGTGTGATTATGTCAGCCTTATTTCTAACACCTGTTTTACTTTGCCAACAGAATGAAAAGATGTGCTGTCTTACACTGGTTAAGATGCAAGTTCTATGTGTTTGTCGTGTCATTGTTTGTCGTGCTGAAGCTGGTGTACATCAAGATTTCAATGGACAACAGTATTTACATCGAACCCTATGGAGCTACACATAGATCACTCAGAGCTCAGCCTCTGAATGGCATTAACTGCACTGCCATTTATGAACTGGAACCGGTGGAAATTGGCAAGTCGTTGGAGTTAAGGCGCAAAAACATTGTGGAAGTTGATGATGAAGGTATCGTTTCTTTCACTGCAGACTGCAAAAACTACATTGAACAAAGGGGCTATAATGAGGTCATCTTAACAGATGAGGAATGCAGCTTTCCAATTGCATACTCTTTAGTGGTGCACAAGAACAGTGCTATGGTGGAAAGAATTCTTCGAGCCATCTACACACCCAACAATATTTACTGCATTCATTATGACCAAAAGTCCTCGAAAGATTTTATTGCAGCAATAAAGAATTTGGAGAAATGCTTTCCAAATATCTTCGTAGCCTCTAAAATTGAGTCTGTTCAGTATGCACACGTTACAAGACTTAATGCAGATCTCAACTGCCTTTCAGACCTGCTGAGTTCAGAGGTCAAATGGAAATATGTTATCAATTTGTGTGGCCAAGACTTCCCACTCAAGTCCAATTATGAGCTGGTGACTGAGCTCAGGAAATTGAATGGTGCAAACATGCTCGAATCAAGCAGGCCCAGCAAAATGAAAAAACAGCGATTTCAGTTTCGGTATGAATTGAAAGACGTATCATATGAATACCGTAAAATGCCAGTTAAGACATCCATTGTTAAAGACCCACCACCGCATGACATCGAGATGTTTGTTGGGAGTGCTTACTTTGTCTTGACACATGATTTTGTGTCATATATTATGACCAATCAACTGGCAAAGGATTTTCTGCAGTGGACAGCTGACACATATTCTCCTGATGAGCACTTTTGGTCAACAATGGCCAGAGTACCTGGAGTTCCTGGAGAGATCGGGAGATCTGAGCCTGATGTTACAGACCTGAAGAGTAGGACACGTTTGGTTAAATGGAACTATCTAGAAGGCCACTTGTATCCACAGTGCACCGGCATGCACAGACGCAGTGTTTGCATCTATGGTGCAGCGGAGCTCCGGTGGCTTCTGGAGGATGGCCACTGGTTTGCAAACAAGTTTGATCCCAAAATTGACCCTGTCATTATTAAATGTCTTGAAGAGAAACTTGAGGAGAAGCAGCATCAACAATGCCTGAAAAGAGTGTCTTAGGCCTTAGGGCCATGTTATGGTTGAAATATATATGTTTGCTGCTGCACTTATGTTCGTTCAAAGCAATAGCTGATTGTATTTCCGAACCATTTACATGTCATCATGTTGCCATCCACTATATGCTAGGTGAGTATGTTAATGAGTTTGCCTTTCAGCTTCAGCTTTATAACTTGACCCAAAGATGTATTCATAGGTGCTTAAGCTATGAAGTATATATATATTTTAATTTATTTAAACGAATACTGTCAGATACGTAGTCCATCCTTTTCATTCTATTTTTTTACTGAATCAATCTATAAGTGAACTTTTGTAGGGCTTCAGCTGTGAGTGTTTTTCTTTTGTGTCAAAAAATATAACTAAATAAAAAAAACTCCAGCTGAAAGAATATGCAGTGTAGTGAACTTTTAGGAATATTTAGCAATATTTCTCACTTTACAAGTATTATATTTGTAGTTTTGAATAGTAATCTCAAAACAATGTCTGTATCAATGCCAGGGTGATGTTGTGTCAAAATTATTTATACAATAACTGACAATCTCTACTGTACATTCAATATGGTTTCAGATAAAGCTCTTGTATTTGAGT